GTAGAATTATCATCTATATTTTTGTAAAGAGATTTCTCCTAGCAGTTTATCTTCCGAAAGGAATGTATGCATGCAGCCCAGACATTTCAGTAATTGCATTATAATTGTTGGTGTTACCAGGTAACATATGATTTCACGATGATTCAAGGAGCAGAGCCTGGGCAAGATCCTTTGGCAGTACTGAAGGTACGAGAGCTTAGGTTGGTTTTTTCCCCCTATTAGACAAGATTTTGTCCTTGCAATTAATTTTTTCTATCTGCTTTTTATCGCAGACCATGTTAAAGCATCGTCGCATCAACTGTTTGAGCCACCCTGTTTGCTATAACGTTATGAGTATAAAATGGTAAAGACAGTATTGATTTAATTTTAGTTTATCCTTAATATATCCTTCTTAGAAAACCTTCGCGTGCGAACGAGCTTTTTTTCACCACTCCCGTCTTCATCGAGTTTTTGCTCTCGCCCCACTTTTCGCGCGGCCAGAGGGGCATAGTATGTGACAATAAGATCATGAGCTTGAGATATCTGTCTCGCAAAGAAATTGAGAGCGAAAAATCGAATTGTCTTAACATAAATCTACTAGTCGTTTCAAACTCTATCCAAATCCTCTATACAAACACTTCGAAAACGCAAGTCAGTAGCCGCCATTTTGTTAACAACCGCACACTTCAAGGCTACTCATTATTTAGCACAGAACTGATAGTGAGTAGCGTAGCCAATAAGAGAATGGCATTCGCGATAGAACGCTAGTAGATTTATAGTAAATGTTAATATTGTAAAGTCAACGTGATCTTCAATCAGTTTGCAAAACTAGCTCGTTTTAATTCGTTTGTAATCGTTCCTCCAAGATTCATGTAAGATTTTCGAAATTTTCGTGAAAGAGGTTGCTAAGTGCCAGCACGTACCCTTCTACCCTCAAACTCATGTGACAACGTTCGGTGTAATACCAAGTGTTCGTGTCATACTTCGATTGGTCGATAGCAATCGGAAAGTCTGACGAAGATTTACCGAAAACTTAATTTGTTCTCTCGCCTGTACTTAATCAAAAGAGTTGTTAAACGAGAAAAATAGAATGTTTGGTGCTACGTTTCTCTCTGTCTTAGTCAAGTGTTTTTCAAATTGTTTCCCGTCCAGGCAGACGTTTGGATGGAAATCTTTGGTTATCAACATACTTCTGTATCTTCTGTTCGTTCTTCCGCTGACCGCTCTTGCTCTTTCCACGCGGGCTAATGAGAAGCATCTTTGTGGCTTGAATGAAACCATGCCAAGAAAGGTAACCAGTTTTGGCAGGTTTTTAAAAATATGTTAAATTTTTAGCATATGAACCTCGATTTGAAACTGGTTATGATGGCAGTGAAACTAAATACTTGAAGTTAAAAATTGAAACTGAGTAATTCCTTAAATATGGGAATAACAGTATCAGGATTTCTGACAAAATTCAAGCAAATGAATGGTACATTTTAACATACATTTTCTACAATTTTATTAGAAAACTGGAAATCCACATCATGCCGTCAGCAAGGGACTGACCATTATTTATTTGAGGGTAGGGGGTGAGGAAGGTTGGGTGATTCCCACTACAAATTCTTGCACAGCAAAAACTGATGAAAACAAATCGTGCATGGGGAGCCATGGGGAAAAATCGAGCAAGCTAAGTGTTTTCTACCATCCAAATCCTGTTAAAAGAAAACAATAATCTGCAAGAGCTATTGCCCATGCGCCAAAATAAATCATGCACAGCCTAAAGGTGAGAAAAAAACTTTTTTTTTTTCCCAAAATCAGCAAAATGGAAAATTATCCCGAACCTATGATTAGACTTATCAAGCATAGGTATACAAAAAGCTAATTGTTCTTAGATACACGTGGTTGCCTCCCAAACATTTTTCACTAACACGTAACAGTGTTTTCGTTTCATTATTCTCATTGTTTACAGGAATACATTGA